TTATCTTCTCGGTGGATATTTATCATTTGAAGTTTTATTTTGATTGCAAAATCTGGCCATTCATTTATAGTTGAATTTGATGGGAGTATTTCATGTTTCAGTAAAGTGAAGTGGTCTCTTTACAATTTGTGTGAAAGATTGAAGTGGTTGGTCTAAATCGATGGGAATGAAAATGAAACTTTGCTCTTTACGTATATATCCACAATATCTACAGAGGCATTCTACAATTAAAAAGACTCCTGAAGGTCGTATATTTGTGTGAATAATTAATTTGATTAGTTTATTAGTTTGGTTTTTTGTCTCAATCGGGTAAATATTGGGAGCTTGGTGCACAATTTACATAAAATCGGACGAAACTATATATGGGCGCTATATCTAAATCTGGACCGATATCAACAAAACTTCACAGACATCAAACTGGACTTAATTAAGTATGTTGTGCAAAATGTTGTCTCATTTGGACATACATTGGGAGTTTGGTGCATCATTTACCTAAAATCGGACGAAACTAGATATTGGAGCTATATCTAAATCTGGACCGATTTTAACAAAAAATCACAGACGTCATGGACTTAATTGTGCAAAATTTTGGGGATCTATTTCTAAATCTTTAGCGATTTGAGCAAATTTTCACAGACATCAAACTGGACTTAGTTCAGTATGATGTGCAAAATTTTGTCCCAATCGGACAAATATTGGGAGCTTGGTGCACAATTTACATAAAATCGGATAAAATATATATAAGAGTTATATCTAAATATGGACCGATTTCAACAAAACCTCACAGACGTCAATATGGACCTAATTCAATTAGCTGTGCAAAATTTTGTTCAATCGAACGAAATATAGGGACTTTGGTGTACCATTTACATAAAATCGGACGAATATATATATATATATATATATATGGGAGCTATATCTAAATCTCATCCGATTTTCTCCAATAAAGCTCAATAGGCTTCGTCCTTGGGCCGAATAAGTGACTGGTACCAAATTTCATCCAAATCGGATCATAATTGCGACCTGTACTTTGTTTACAATTTAGCATCAACAGATGGACGGACATACATAAATCGACTCAGAATGTGATTCCATGCATATTCTCAAAATGAACCATGGGTCTATCTCGTTTTCTTTTGCCTGTTATAAACATACGCACAAGACATAATAAACTGTACCACAGTGTGGTGAAGGGTATAAAAACCGTAGAAACATCGGGAGTTTAATCACCATTTACATAAAATCAGACAAACATATATATAGGACCTATATCCATATTTGATAGGATTTCAAAGAAACTTGGCACACATCAGCCTAGACTCAATTCAGTATGCCATGCTAAATTTCGAGGAAATCGAAAAGAATATAGGGGCTTTGCTGCACCATTAACACAAAATCGGACGAGAGTATATATAGGAGATATATCTAATTCTGAACTGATGCCAACTATATATTGAATATATCATTCCAGACTCAATTTAAAATGCTACGCGCAATTTCATGTAATTCGAAAAATATATAGGGGCTTTAGCGCACCATTTACATAAAATCAGTTGAAAATATATATAGGAACTATATCTGAACTGATTTTCACGAAACTTAGCAAAGATAATACTAGACTTAATTAAATACGCTATGAAACATCTCGTGTAAATCGAACGAAACATAGAGGCTTTGGTGCACCATTTACATAAAATTGGACGATTTCGGCATAACATCAGGTACGTCAATCCGTACTTAATTTAGTACCCTGAGCAACATTTTGTCACAATCGATCAAACATTGAGAGTTTGGTGCACAATTATTTATGAGAGATATATTTAAATCTGAACCGATCTCTCTCCAATTTCATAAATACGACCTGGACGGAAGACGGACTTGGTAAACTCGACATAGAATTTTATTCTGATGGGGTATCCGTCAAATAATGCGTTATCTCGATCGTGACAAACTTTTAATATACTTTATCAGGAGATGGTCCTAGTAAATACATAAATAATTTCTGAACCAACATAAAAACAAGGATCATTCCTTGCTAATACTTTTTTACTCCATATGAACCAGGAATGCTAAATCCGGAAATAGGGCGTGAACTTTATTTAAATAGAGAACCCTAACTGGCAAATTACAGACCTTTTGGTTGGTAAATGTGTCTAGGATGTTCATATCTAACTGCATGTCTTCCGTCAATCTTCTTCAGATTCACAACTAACAAATATTTTCTTAGTAAAACCCCGTCAGTTCGCTAAAAAAAACCCTAATTACACAATTAACTAATGAATAATTTTAATTAAAATCACCTCTAAACACTAGATGCCCAATTCCATTTACTACTATTATACAATAATACACCTACTTTATTTTCAAGGAATTTCACTAAAAATATTCCCTATACAATTTTTAGAAATGTTTTCCTTCCCTTCTTACAAACACATTTACTCCAAATAGGCTCATTTTCCACAAATAGCCTTGAAAGCAATTAATGAACCCAATATTTGGACTCAGTTCAACAAAATTTAACAATTTAATTAATTAATCATTTTTTGTTGTTTTGTTCTGTGTTTGAAATTGGTCCTCAAGCGTAAACCTCAGAAAATAAACAGGCAGGACAGACAAAACGGGAACCCACAGCATCAGTCGAAAAGATGCTACAACAAGAACGTGAACAAATAACCAAAAAATTATTTCAGAAAAATAGAGAGAAAACAATCAAAAAAACGCACAAATGAAACATAATGAAAGGGAATACAACAACAACAACAACAAAAAGAACGAGGTCATGCATTTTCATGCGATATAATTTAAATTGGCGCCAGAGACCCCGAACCACCTGCTGTTACCAGCAACCACAAAACGATCCTTGTTAGCAATGCAAACCTCAACAAAACGAACACGAACACAGCCACACACACACATAAACACACTCTCCCGCACAATGTTAGAATAAAAAGGTTAGCCAAAAATAACAGAAAGAAATGGTAACTGATTTCATTGCCACAGCAGCAAAGGCATGCCCAAAAATCTTTACAATGCCAAACAAATTGAAATCAAATTAAATCTACAGAATGCCCTTTAAATGCAAACAAAAATATGCAAAGTATGTTTTGGTTGAGAGAAAAATTCAATTCAATATTCAATGATACTAAATAGAATAGAATAATACTAAAATGTGTTGGAGTCCATTTTCGGTAAAAGTTTGGATACCTTGAAAATATCCGAGCAGTTTGTTTTTTAATAAAGAAGTATAAATATATTTATACCCTACAATATTATGGGTGGGTATGTTTATATTGGTTCAAAAAAGTGCACCACGAACCATTGGCCTTAAACTCACTATTTAACAAGTCGATCTTTATGTACGTTCGCCCAGCTTCCGTTATAACTTGTAATTAAATTACAGGTCGCAACTATCACCACAACATTTTTTACAAATGATGATATGTTAGTACATAGGCGATACCATTACACTGAAAAAATAATTCGTAAATTATATGAATAGTTTTCAGAAAGTGTTTCCAATGTCTGGATTTCTGCATTTTATGAATTAAAATATATATAAGTTTAAATGTTGGTTTCTTGTTAGAGAGAGAAAGCGAAAAAACACAACATTGGAAATGTGTGTTTGGTGGTGGTGGGTTTTTTCTTGTACAGAATCTTTTTGCTTTTTTTATTTCTTTTATTTCGTTGTTTTGTCTCGTCTGTATAAACAATTCTATACAATGTAGAACTTTCGGTTGAGCTTATTTGTTATACTGTATTTGACATTTATATCGAAATAATTGAAATCTTTAGAATACCGCAAATGGACCAACCAAAACCAACATTTGGTCATGGGAGTAAATTCCTAATGTTTTTAGCTTTCAATTGCATGCGTATATTTGAAACATAATACAACATAAGAAAATCGATTTCTTGTGTTTGAGGACCCGATCTAAAAACTTATGAGCAACATTTTTGCAGAACATTGGGTTGCCAAAATATCCTCTTGTGGTAATTAGAAGGAGGATACGTTATACAAAAAGATTCCTCACTCGATTCGACTGAAGGCATGTCATCTCGAAAATAACCTGCAAAGGCCCAAACAAATACAAAATGCTTGCATTTTAGAGCCATAACTCAAAAACTTGACCTATGGCGAATTAGTCCTCCTGGTTTCCTAATACACACCCCAAGGGCTTTTATACCCATAAGAATCCGAATTAATTATAATTAGTTGGAGATTTTGCCATCTTTTCAATTGGTGGTAATTAGAGCAGCAGATACTTTCTTTCTATCAGAGGGAACATCTTCCACCAACTTGTGTTAAAAATATAAACCATCGAAACTCAGTCATTATACCCCTATTCCAAAGTAGTGTATTTTAAAAAGATTGTTCATAGATATTCATAACATTTGCTGCCATTCCTCTCTGGTCTACTTTCTTATTTTCCTGTTAGAAATGACATGGTGCGCTTAAATGTTTGTTTGAGGTTTGAAATAAAAAAGAGAAAACAAAAAAATAACTACACTTTCAGTCACCTACGCTTCCATGTAAAGAAAAAAAAAACAGAAAACAATACTGCACAATGCCGTAGACGCATGCGCAAACGTTCGTTTTCCTAAATGAAATGCTGTAAAACGCACAATTAAATATTTGAAACGCCCCCTTGCCATCAGTCAATAGCTCGTTTTCTTTGTCAGTTTGTTCTTTTATACGATATCAATGAGCTGTTCACCATGATGAAGTGGGGGGATGCAGCCAAGACAATGTGCTATTCATTTTCCAATTTTATGAACATTTGTTTTCTTTCTCTAAATAGGCTGTGGATAAAACAAATAAAATGCTTGGTTATCTAGAAAATGTGCGGTAACATCCCTCCGCATAGATCCTTAATAAACGAAATGAACATCATCATCATTATCACCATTTTTATTTGTTTTTTTTTTTTTTGTTCTTGTTGTTATTCTTTGGAAATAGTTATTTATTGTATTGTGCGATCCTTGTTTGTGTGTCCTTCCAGACGTATGTTCCCATCCATGCGATTGTCGTTGTCCGGTCTGGATGATGACACCAATTATTGTGTTCTACTGGAAATGGTACCAATTGGTGATTGCCGCTATAAATTCTCTGGGTCACAGTGGGTACCAGCTGGCGGTGCCGAGCCACAGTCACCGCAACGTATGTACTTGCATCCGGATAGTCCGGCCACGGGATCACATTGGCAGGCGCAACCGATTCTCTTCAATAAAGTGAAATTGACCAACAACACATTGGATAATAGCGGTCAAGTAAGTAGGCGTTTAGAGAGAAGCGGATCAGATGTTTTTTATTTCCTTTTATGATTAATTGTGTTTTCTTTTCTATTCTTTTTTTAATTAAATTTTTCTAGATTGTTTTGGCCAGCATGCACAAATACCAACCGAGAATTCATGTTATACGCACTTCTGATTTGGCACAAATACCATGGGCTCCCCAGCAGGCTTTTGTGTTTCCTGAAACAGAATTTGTTGCGGTCACCGCATATCAGGTGAGAGATTGTTTTAGTCCTTCGATTTAGCCTTAACCGTCAGTTAGTCCGTGGGTCTTTTGAAATCACGATAAAGATCGCATTATTTAAGATAGAATTTCGAAATTTTGAACATATATTGCTAATATTGATATTGAATGTGGGGTATATCGATATACGTTTTATTATAGCCCCATATAACGGCCTCATTTTAGGTATTTTGAAGATCAATCAGAATTTTCCCACCGAAGTGATATTCCGAGTACTTGCAAAAATTATTCGTTATTGGTCCAAGTTTTGATATAGGCACCATGTATTTCATTTTGAAGATTTCAACCGCATTTGCCCATCAAAGTGGCAGTCATTTTGTGTTTCCGCTTCTGAGACGTTGAAAAATATCTTTGCATAACATTTTCGATATTCATCTATGCTTTGAAACAAGGCGGATTCCCAAGGGGGAGTTTTTCCTGACGAAGAAAAAGATTATTCACAGAAAATTTTCAATATAGTTTAAATTTTTGACATAGCCCATATATAAAGATCCCGATCTGTTTCCGGTATTTTGTGGGTCTAGCAGTATTTTCTAATTTGGTATTGGTTCCTGTGTAAAAAAAATTGAAGAAAGAGAAAGGTCCGCGTTTTGACATAGCTCATATATAAAGATCTCGGTCTATATTTGTCATTTTGAAGGCCTTAGCCTGTTTTTGACATTTCGGGTTCTTGGAGAGTAAAAATATCTTTGACAAAATTTCAAATATAGGATTATGTTTTGAAACAGCCACCATATAAATGGACCCATTTTCGGTATATTGAAGGTCTTACCTGCATTTTCCGAATGACGATGTAATTTGCCATATTGTGTTCCTGGCTAAAAAAAGTGAAGAACATTTTTGATAAAGGTTCAAATTTTGACATAGTCCATATATAAAGATTCGGGCCCATATTCAGTATTTTGATGGTCTTAGCCACGAACAACGAAATGGCTGTAATTTGGCATTCCGGATTATTGATGAGTTTTTCGATATAGGAAAATTGCGGAGTGACGTGGCTGTAATACGGAATTTTGGATTACTGGGGAACAAGAAACTTCTCCTCACAATTTTATTCAATATATATCTATGTTTTAAAACAGCCACCATATAAAGGTACATCCCATTTTCGGATTTTGAGGGTCTTAACCGCATATTCCCAACGAAGAAGCTGTTGTTTGGCATTCTGGGTTCTTGCAGGGTGTTGTTTGCGGAAAAATTTCGACATCGGATATGTTTCATTATAGCCTCCATATGAGACCAATTTTCAATATTTCGAAAGTCCTAGCAGTATTTCCTAACAAAGTGTCAATAATTACAGATTTATAAGAGTGACAAATATCCTTGCAGAGAGGTTTCGATACACGTCGGTCTCAACCGCATTTGTCCCACCAAATAATCTATGATTTGAAATTCTGGCAAACATTTTTTGAGGATTTTTTTCGATATAGGCCTATTTTTTACTTACCCCCAATTTTTTGTAGTTTAAAGGACTCTACCTCATTTTCCAAACTAAGTAGCTTTAATTTGGCATTCCTCGTTCCTAGCGAATAAAAACATATTCCGATGTAGACCATATTTAAATATCTGGACATATTTTTGGCATTTTGAAGGCCTTAGTATGCCTATTTCTTGAAATTTCGATATATGGGTATGTTCTGCATAGCGCCCTCACATAAAAGTCCCGAACCATTATAGGAACTTTAATCGTTTTACGAAATCGTTCACAAAGAAGTGACTATAATTTCGTATACTGGATTCTTTGAGGGTGAAAAAGCATCAATTGGAAATTAATCTAATACAATTTCATGTTATTTATAGCCTCCATATACAAAGGTCCCGGCTCACTTTCTGCATTTGAAACTCAGCTATTTTTTAATTAGCTGTAATCAGACATTTGGAGTTACTGATGAATAAATATCTTCATCCTTGAATATTTTTAAAGGTTCCTATAAGTTTAAGTACTATAAATTTCCTAAACGAAATGGTTATAATCGTGGTTCTTGGAGGGTGGTAAGTGTATATGTAGGAAATTTTCGATTGGGTTCATGTTTTGACGTAGTCCCTGTTCCACTGAATTTCCCCCAAAGAAGCGGCTGTAATTTGCCATTTCGTATTTCTGGTAAATAAGAAACTCATTCTCCGATTTTTTTTCAATATAGGTCCATGTTTTTCAACAGCCCTCATATATGAAGAGTCAAATTATATTGATAATATATTATTCGCATTCTCATAAAAAAATGCAGTAACCACTATTGAATGTTAAATATCCTTAACAAGGCACTGAAGAGGCCAGGCACAGAAGAAGCCATAAACAATTTTTTGCAAAAAAGAAAAATTCCAGAAAAAAAACACACACACCCAAACTCTGGCCACCACAAGCCCACCTTAAGTCAATTTTAAGTACATAATTGCCGTCTATTTGTTAATGACAAACTAATTAAGAGGCGTAGACGACGTCAAATCCAAGAATACCAATCGATCAATCAATCGGCCACTTAAAAAAAGAAGACGAAATGCCAAAAAAAAAAGAAAACAACCTTGACATTGGATATTCATTCATTGGCTCATTCAATATTTACATTGTCTCAATCATCCGAGACTAGCCCATAGATGCCTATTGCAAATTTTCAATTGTCTATGGGTATCCTTTGGTCATACTAACCACTAGGGGGCAGAGGGGTGTTGTCTGTTGAATTTGAGGCCGAAACCATAGAAACCACTTGTAGTAGTAGTTTTTGTTTTTTCTTTTTGTTAATTATTTAATTTGTTCAAGTCTGCAAAAGAAAAACACACACACAAACTGCAACGTCGTCGCTCTCTACCAACCAGCCAACCAAACAAGACGAAATCACTCAGAGACGACAGACGAAATAAACAATGGCACAGCGGTAGGGCCTTTAACAAGCAAATTAGCTTGTAACGCCCCGTACATCCTCGTTGTTTTGCTGTCCGGCCTGGACTAGACGACAAGCTAGTTAGGCCCAGTCAAAGAACAACAGCTCAGCGGCTGCAGCCCAAAAGAGGAAGTGCATGTCGCTGCATTTTGTGGTGATTGCCAAAAAATAGTTGTTAGTCATTGCAAAGTCCTTAGTCATCGCCACTGTCGTCGTAGACGTCGTCATCATCATAAGTATGCCTCCTAGTTAATGGCCATCACTCAGTCCGCCAGCCAGCCAATTTCATTTCCTTTGGACAAACATCTCAGCAATGAATCACCCACCAAAAACACTTGAATGAGCATGAGTGGCATAATTTGAGCTCTTGCTGTGTTTTTGTTTTCAAAACGGAATTCAATTTTTCTTTTCGCCGATCCACGCAGTCAATGGCCAGTTTAGTTCAGTTAAGTCAGTCAGTTGGTCATATATCCGTCTAGTCTGGCCACCTATGTTTCCTGATGCTTGTTTTTTCTGGTTATTCTCTTGTCTGCCTTGCCTAATATGATTTGAATGAGTCGCCATCAGTCTGATGATTATTTTCTCTTCGTTTTTCTTCCTCTCTGCAATGTCTAATTAGCCAAGATCAACGATGATTGGTGTTTTTCTTTTTTTTTCATAGTAAGCTTCAAATGCACAGTGGGATTTTTTAAAATAATTGTGGGTAAAAATCGTATATACTACGTATAGAATATTTGGTATTATGCTGTAGATTGTAAAACTTCAAAAGTGTTTCTGTAAATATAACAGGGTTTCTACTGCGTATCTATCGATCGAAGAATTATCGATTGAAGAATTTTTTATGCATTGAACACTTTCTTCGGGCACTAACTTTAAGTGTCTTTCATAGATAAAATACGTCTAGGGTCTTTTGGTCTTTTTAGGTTAAGGGAACCCCACCCATTCTCGATTTTAATTTTTCAAGATTTTCAATGGGCTGGTAAATCAATACCAATGCTTGTTAAGGTTTGTAACTTTGCACATATATATTTGAAGATTTAAAAAAGAAGAAAAATAATTTACAAAAAAATTTTGTTATTGTTTTGTTGTTGTTTTTTGTAATTAAAGAAAAGTCCTTATTTTTGATGGCGGGCATGATAACTCCTCACTGGAACATCGGAATCCGAAAATTCCAACGGTGTTAGAAAGAGTACACGTCTGGCTCTCGTATGAACTAGGATTATTGACTTCGCTCTAAAATTAACAAAATGGCGGACCTTTGAAAAAATATTTTTGAAAAATCGCCGATTTTTGACCAAAAACAAATAAGGAAGATCTTAACCGATTGGCTTTATCCTAGTTCATACGATAGCTATACACTCACAGAGAAACGTGTAAAAATTTGAAATCGATTGGGTTATTAGTTTTTGAGTTATCGTGCCCGCCATTCGCAAAAGAGAAAAACGCGTTTAAAGTTTGAGAAGCCCTTTAGCCGTCACTTGATGCTGACACAATAAATCGGCTATATCTTCAAGAGTTCTTGAGATTTTCACTTGAAATTTTGTAGAGACATTCTTGAATTAGTGTAGAATCGAATTAAATCAAAAAAAATTTGACCCCGAGAATGGGGGGGGGTCCCCTTAAATGACATTCTACAGGTTTTTGATGAATATAAGGCCTTCGACAGTCTAATATTAATAAGATTCCTTCTACATTACTTTATATATCCAAAAGACTTTTTACCGAAAAACCGCCGAAGTTATTATATTCATACAACATATACATCTCCTACAGATATTCTATAAGGCCTTATAAATGCCTTCAATGCCTTGAGAAACATTCATAGGTCCTCAATGTCGGAAATACATTCTATAAGTCATATATGCCTAGAATGTCTGATAATATAAGGATAGAGGACCTATGAAGTGCCATAGTGAGAAGTCTCTATTCTTTCTAAGGCTGATAACATTATATAGGTCATCTGTGGACAGAATATTTTCCACCGATTTTCTGTGTAGTATGCCTTCTACAGGGTCTCCATAGCTAGAATTCATTATATAGGCCTTTTAGAACTTCTAGAGGCATTCTATGACCAGAATGCCTACACGTCTTCTATACCACAAAATGTCTTCTTCTACTTATATTATCTTAATTCTAAATTTCAAGATTCCAGCTCTATCATCGTCTCACTCAAATCCAAATTTGGTACCAAAACTTCCTATATACTCCAATCCTATACTCTTACATTGATGCTAACTCCAAATTCCAGGACTTCAACATTCTCCCAAAATTCAAATTGTACCAAATTTTGTACACATTTCCAAAACTACCTACATAACCCAATTTTACACCCCAACTGTGAACCTATTCAAATTTGGTATCATTCCAGTTCTATGGATTCACTTAAATCCAATTTGTACCAAATTTAATAACATTTAGTATACATTAGTACGAATTTCCAAAACTTCTTACATACCCCAGTCCAACAATGATCCTAACTCCAAATTTCAGAATTCGAGTTCTATCGGTTCTCCTAAAATTTAAATTGTACCACATTTAGTACCATTAAGTACACGTTAGTACGAATTTCCAAAACTTACTAAATACCCCAATTGTACATACCAACAGTGATCCTAACTCTTAATTGCAGGTTCTAGCTTTATCGGTTCACCCTAATCGAAAATTGGCACCAATTAGTACACATAAGTAGAAATTTCCAAAACTTGGTACATATCCAAAACCTAGACCCCTACAGTGGCACTTACTCAAAATTTCAGGATTCCAAATCTATAAAAGTTTAAATTGTACAAAATTTAGTACTCATTAGTATGAAATTTAGTATAATTTAGTATCCATAAGTACAATTTTTCAAACCTATGCTCCAGCAGTAATCCTATTTAGAAAATTTCAGTGTTTCAGCTCTATCGGGTCACCCAAATAAAAATGATACTAAATATAGTTCCATTTTGTACTTTTCGTACACATAAGTACATATTTCCAAAACAATCTACATATTCCAATCTTATATTTCGAAAGTAATGTTAATTTCAAATTGTAGGATTCCAGACCCATTCGTTTCTCCAAATTCAAATTGTACTAAATTGGTGGTACACGCTTCCAAAACCATTTCCTTATATGGACCCTACTTCTCAGCCTTGATTTGCATTTCAAATGTCAAGTTTTTAACTCTATCCGTTCACATGCTACGAAATTGTACCAAATTTAGTACTTTTCGGATACTTATAATTATAATTTCCAAAAGCCCTTTTGATAAATCTATCCTGCACTCGATCATGACCGTCATTCCAAATTTAAGAGTTCTAGCTTTATCATTCCGCCAAATACAAATGGTATAGTATTTAGTACTTCTCGTACCTTTCTAGTGCGAATTTCCAACCCTGCCTTATCTGACGCCTTTGGACTAAGATTCTAGCTTCAGCCGTTTCGTCGGAGCGTCGATAAATCAATCACTCACTTTACCCTATATTTAGAGAACCTTCTAGGGGTTTACTATTGCTAAGGAATTTTATACCAAAGTCGACCTTTTATATATGCCAATTCGACCTTTAACATTTTTTTAAACTGGGAGACCCTACACAGGTATTCTTTAGCAAAAAATATCTGCTAGTTAGATGACTTCATTCTATTCAAAAAAGGATACCCAACCACAGAAGAACTTCTACGAAGAAGACAGAAGACCCTTCTACATATCTTCTATAGCTCGTTCAGTTACATAGTTTGTTCTGCATTTTACTTATTTTTAACTTTAAGATTATTTCCAGACTTATTTGACCCCATATTTATTATATGTTCTTAATTCTTAATTAACCCTTCTTCCTCTCTTTCTTCGTCCGTTTTTTCTTTCTTTCAGAATGATCGCATCACAAAATTAAAAATCGACAATAATCCCTTTGCCAAGGGCTTTCGTGAAACTGGTCAATCGCGTTGCAAGCGTAAAATGTCTTCATCACCTACTGCCGATGAGCAATTGTTGCGGCAGCAGCATGAAATCATGTCGCCAACGAAATTATCATCATCTTCCTCGTCGGGGTCTACACCACCGTCAACAGCAACGACAATAACAACAGCCTCATCAGCATCCTCGGCAGCAATCAGTGAGTCGGGATCATCAATTTGTTCGGATAAACCAGTGACGACGGCATTCTTTAATGATCATATCATTGTGGACATGGATGCTGGAGGAACATCAGCGCAAATTAAACGATTACGCTCAAACGATTTAGCCGCCATTGCAGCATTGGATCCAGCGTTGCATGGATCATTGGATGCTGGTGGTTGCATTGCAGCATCACCGATGTCTACGCACACCAACAACAACAATGGCATGGAAACCAGTTCCAACCACAGTATGTCATCACCACTGCCTCTGGATTATGTTAACAATAGTGGCAATATTTTTCAACAACAAGCCGCAGCGGCAGCGGTTGCAGCAATAGCTGCTGGCCACAATGGTGTCGGTGGTGGTTCAACCTGTAATGCAACATCCGTTGCATTTATGCATCATTTCCAACAAAATATGCAGTCGTTGTTACGACCTTCACTGGTCGATTTAGCATGTTCCTATTTTGGCCGTCCCCAGCCCATGTATCCGCCACAACATGCAGACTATGTTGCCACACAGCAACAACAACAGCATCAAATGCACCACCAGCATCATGAATCTCTTTTGGCGGCCGGTTTGGCAGCACAGCAACAACCGATATTACCACCAACAGCACCTGTAGCACCACTTCTTCCGCCATTGCCACAGAATTTGTCTCTGACAGCCGGGGGCAGTGATGGTGGTAGTGGAGAATTGTTGCCAAATCGTGTTACTGCCATTAACTCGAATACCACCTCCGATTGCATTACAAACGATGCCGATCTTTCCTCATCCGATTCATCATTAATACAAGATGATGTGACGCTACCAACCACACCAACACCAGTGCCAACGATGTTCGCTGGCTGTGGAGCTACTGCAGACAACGACAACACCAACAACTCAACCACCGCTGGCAGTGGTTGTGATGGTGGTTGTCCCTCGACAAATGATGCATTACCCCAATCGCCGTCATGCAACAGTGCCCAGTCAAATCATCCCGGCCAAAGCAACAACAACAACAGTACCACCAGCAATGGCAGAAAGAAAGGCTTTAGCATATCGGCCATTTTAGGTGGTGGTAGTTAGTTGAGGGCTTCTAATTAACCGGGTGAATTTCTTTTTTTTTCAAGTGTCATAAATGGTGCTATCAGCTAAGAATTCATATTGAGAATGTTTAACATCGAAATTGTGATGATGTAATGTAAATAAATATGTATTTGGTCTGTGTACAATTTTATTCGTATTGTAATTCATTAAAGTTGACAATAATTATATCAGTAATAAAAATAAAAATAATTTTCACAAAAAATTGTTTCTATGGGATTTTTTATTTGCAACTATTAACAAAAATGTTCGGAAAAACGTTAATCCTTTTAGAATCCGGCGCCAATGTTTGTATGTAATTTATTGCAACAGGTCTATAGTATTTAGAAATGATCAACCGATTTGCTACAAATTCAAAGATGAAGCCTATCAGTCCACTCATTATGGTGTCTTCAACACAAAGTGTCAACATTTTGAAAACATGGGAATCTCATATGTAGGTAATTAGTTCTTCAGTTGGATTCAAACATAATGTTTTTACAAGATTTAGGTCAATTCTAAACATGAATCTAAGGGTCCACTCATTAGATACCGAGAGCCAGTATCTAAAAACTAGATCTATATGATTTGTTTATACTATACCTAGTGCAAATATTGACTGTTTAGGTTCATTCTTTCTCTTTCATAATGGTTAAAAATCGTTAACAAAATTCGATCCTAGTCACAGATTTTATTTAAATATTGAGTATAATGTTTTTATAAAACTTAAATAAGTTGGAAAGAAAAGCCACATTTAAAATGCTAAAAGTTGGGGGCTGTGTATATATGAATATAATAAACTCAAGCGTACTAGCATAAAATGAGATAGTCCCCATATAGACCATCTCAATTTCTGCTAGTACGCCCTGAGTTTGGTCGTTCTGCAAAAAAATAGTTCAAAGGAAGTATTTCGCAATACGAACGACCGGTACTAGCTCTTTCGTTCATCTAGTTTTTTTCATTCGTTCCTTTTTGCTCTCTCTCTCTTTCTCGCTCGCCTATATCCTTTTGATCCAATCGTTCATCTAGATTAATGCTGGGCAAGCATGGGAACTGGTGCCCTCATTATATTATATAATGTATCCGTAAGAATCGAGAAAAGAATATAATTGAACAAAAAGTTAAATTATTAAAGGCATTATAGAGAATATTAAAGACATATATGTTATATCCCAAAGGTAACGAGAGGGTAATTTTAATTGACAATAAAATTCATACTAATTACCTACTCGTTTCCCAAAGGATACGATAAGGTAATGAAATGTTTCACTTTTTTCTTGATTTTATACCCTCCACCATAGTATAAAGGGTATATTAATTTTGTCATTCCGTTTGTAACTCATCGAAATATTCATTTCCGACCCTATAAAGTATAGGGTCGGGATATATCGGTCCACGTTTAGGCATTGTAAGAGTTGCACTTGCTTGGTGTTTTTCTTCCGGAAACATTCATTCGAGATCTTTGGAAACAATTTGGCAACGCCATCTACACCTCATATTCGTCTACTTGACTCGATTAAAATATAAAGTTAGTACCATCTTTAGGATTACGTTTTTGCCTTGTTAATCCATTGCCTGGAAATTCGTAGCTTGTGGCCAGCGTTGGATAGGTTTCGTGGCCCCAAAACGGATGGTACTCTGGCATTTTGCCGATCAATTCATCCCTGTAAAGACTTGATTTTGGGAAATTTGTTAAAAAGTCAATTTCTACCAGTTTTTTTACAAAGTAAAATTTTCATTAATCTGAACGGATTTCTTGCTAAAAATTCCCCTAAATTAGAGCTGACTGGGAATTAATATAATTAATGATCGTTATTGGTTGTTATAATTCAATCATAATTATTCACAGCCATCTTAGCAAGAAAATAATTATGGTTCATGGTGCCATCTCGCTATGCGGTAAGTTTCTCAGTTAGATTGTGCACAAAGGGAATGCAAAAATATATTGTTAATTCTTCTACTCTCATTAGGATTGGCACCCAGCCTATAATCATTGTTGTTGTCGTTGCGTTTGCCAGCCATAAAAATACTGTTTTTTTTCACTTGCTTTGTGCAGCGTAAAATCCAGCAGCATATACAACGTTAATGAGAGTAGTCAGTCACATGTACACTTCAGTTGAACTATAGTTAGTGATAAAATCACGTGTAATTGCAGAGCATTAAGGCAATTGAATTATTAGAAATGTGCGCCGTTGATTCGAGTGACACAGCAATATAAGTCCAACAATTTTAATACTGTTCGATTCCCCGGAGTGGATTTCAAAATATATATAATATCAGCGAAAACTGGATATTCCCAATGGTATCAAAAACCGATGATTTGCGAAGTTAGTGATGACTAGTAGTATCAAAGAGTGAGATAATCCAAAACCTAACTGACATCCTGAAATACATTAAGGAATTACTACAAATATTCCAAACTCGATGCACCAACTCAGCACGGTTTGTTCGGACGTCCACAGTCAGCCAGCCTTATTCATAAGTATAAATTTAAATTTTAATATTTCAAATCGGTGCTACTCAAGGTATTATTAATTGTTACAATTTGTTATTATGGGTACGAATTATTTTTTTCTATTTAAAATTATATAACTTTAGTTTCTAACGAATTTGCTTGAACATTTTATTTAATCGCAACTATTATGAAGAGTTGCTACACCGTAATATTATTCTTCATTGCCTCATACTAATATTAGTAAAATTAATATGCAAATTATCAACCATAGTTTTAAGTTTCAGTGTTAAATTATTTTCTTAATATCACATTGTTCTCGAATCACTGACTTCAACAATTAGCTCCGAACATAAGTAATACAACGCACAAACCTACATATAAGTCATATTGGGATGACATACATATCTACAATACTGATGTTTGTGCGTATCAATATGTTATGTTTGTAGCTGACTGTTGGCAGAGATCTTTACATACCTACATTCAGTAATAATTGTCGCCTTTCAGATGAAGTGTGTAACAAAGAAACCGAAACAAAGAGCAATATCAGTTACAATTCTCTCTTAATATCAACAGCAGCAACCACTACGAAAGATCTTTCAACGGTGACGCTACTCTGAGTTGACATGCAAATTGTAAGTACTCTCTTTTATTGTATCGTCATATTGTCTTTTTGCTTCGGTGACAATAATATCTCATTGTTAAGCGTTTAAAAATATTAGCGTGGGTACCAAGAAAAACCAGTATTGTAATATATTTTTAATAATAATTTTTTTTTTTTTTGTTTTTTTGGATTATTTTGTTGAGAATTATTTTTTATTGTTAGCCCAATGCCTCAACACCTTAAAATAGTATAATATAGGATAAGATTGAAAACATTTCTATGTTAATATATGATTACCGTAGTACAGTCATTCATACTGAAATAACATGAATTTTGCACTTTTTCAAATAAATTTAAAAATGTTTTGGGATTAATTTCATACAACTCCTGTTTGATTTCTAGATAGCCTAGGTAGACCAGTCACGATTGCACTAGGGGTCATAGGATCAATTTCTTATCCAGGTTAATACACCTATGACCAGGTTGGGAGGGCATAATGGACTGTTATCACCTCAGTGTCCATCACATAGCTTGCCAATTCGATTGATTATACACTTTCTCTCTGTCTTCCTCTTTTAATTGCACGTATCTTTAAAATAATTTAATCGTAGCGATAACAAATAGCTAGAATATGATCGAACCTACCCCTCCGACGAGCTAGTAGGCCGGAACCAAGTACGTGCGCTAGCTTAATATCAGAATTCGCCTCTTAAATGTTGGTTGTATGCTACATATATAAATTATTTTTGGCGCCCAGAACGTGGGGCCTGAACTAAATGCTTTTTATACTACCTTTTGAATCCATTATGGAACCAAAATTAATAGTTCGGCTCACTTTACAATTTTCTTTATTTTAACTATTTATTTTCTTTAACTTTCTTTGTAAATTTCAATGTGATTCTCTTTAAAGTATGGAATATACAAAGGCTCACGAATTCCATATTCATTCCTAGTGACCTACTTTAGCGGGAATCTCCCTCCAATATCCACCTATGATGTTATTATTATTGTTATTAACAGGACGGAATGCAGTTTCTGGACAATCGGTCTGGATCTGACCACGGTTATGAGCAATATTATAACGTTATATTCCAGCCAGATCCTGGATTTTGAAATATAGTTATATTTCATCCGACCTGGTACTTACATTCTCTTCATAATATATTCTTTCTTATTGGATCGTTGGCTATGTATGTAAATTTTAGTGCGTGACAAACCTATCCTAGATATCGAAGAAGTCAAACAGGATAATTTCTTAAATTTATTTTTCAAGTATATGTTAGTTACGATCTTTGTTTTTGTTTTGAAACTATGAATTTGTTACATTGAAAATACATAACTTAAATTAGGAATAACCATAATTGTGGAATTGGGTTACATCTATTTATTACCATTTTTAAATAACTACACAAGAGTTTATTTATCATACTGCAACATTAATATTTATTAAATCGTCTTAATTATTATTTATTGATGTTCACACAAAGGCAGTCTGTCAATCAATCACCACTTATTTGTTGGGAAAATATCAATTAGCCATTTGGCTTCTTACACAATTCATTGAATTTGTATTGTAAACCAATTGTTAATATTCTTGCATGGGATATTACGTTGTGTTTGTGTGCCTTTTATGCATTTCCTCATGTGTCAATGTTTCTTTCGGGACAAAATAAAACACCATTTGAAATCAAAATTTGTACACTGAATACCTTCAAGTATACCTGTATGATTCAACACATTTCACAATATCAAAAGTAAGGTTTCGATTTTATAAAGTTTAATCCGAGAGTACCATTGGGCTTTATATCTACCAAAATTCATTTTTAATATGGCAACTAGTGCAGGCGAGAAAACTTCTGCCACAATGGCAAAGGATAATTCTATTATTTGTAACGCATGTGGTGAAGTTATTACTTCATCTGCTCAGAAAATTTCTTGTGGACA